GAACGAAATCGTTTCGAACGAGACGACAACGTCCGAGAGAGAAATTATTCGCAAAACGAACGACCAGTGAAACGGCGAAAGCGGTGTCGTGCATTCTTTCGACCGTTTCTAATTCTGCCCGAAGAAAGAACGAGGAAGGTACTATAGCTGCATATTGGCATGCTATAGCCTCTGAGGGCGACACTTCCATCTTGTTTCTTAACCGAGCAGTTCCATTATTCGTCAACGTTGACGAATGGCTACGAATGATCGAAACTCGCCGTTCGACAACGGGCTCGTACAACGGTATTAACTTTGATCCATCTTCTCGGCTCGGACGCGAGGCCTCTTTTCCACGGACGAGGTTAATCGAATTCGGCTCGTGTCGCGTATTCGTTTCTTCGATTCTTCCGTTCGAGACGACCGCGTCGAATCGTGAAAAGTAAATTAGTAGATTCGACAACGTACTCGGTTCGTTGAGGATTTTGGAAATTATCGTCGTTTCAAAATAGAATCGGGACGTGTTTCGTTTCTCTTGCTTTCCGTTTGTTCGATACAGCCAATTCCAACCAACCCCGGACAATGTTTGCACCGCGCACGTGCGTTAATTGCATTCCTTCGGAGGAACCTCGGACTTCCGGGACGCCTACACCGTCCGTCGCGAATTCGCATTACAAAGTCCCATTGCGTACCGGGCTAGACGATTCGCGATGCCTGTTCGGTGAGATTCCGCGAATCGTGTGTTTCTTATCAATGAAGCGACGCAAAGATCGATCTTACAGAGCTCGGCAGTCATCGTTATCGCGATCTTTGCGAAAAATGCGATAAACTCGTCGACGCCAGGAATCTATAGCCAAGATTTTTGACCCGAAGGTGTCGGAGAACCCAAGCGTCGAATAAGAGGCTAATTGTAAGAATAAGGACGAGTGAGAGTAGGGAGTAGATGGCAACCGAACGTCATACGAACGTAGCGCGTCGTCGATTCTCGCGAAACGTACCACGATCATTACCGCAATTATAACAGAGAATCGGTTTACCGCTGCGAAAGGCAGGTTAATCTGTATTCCCGGTAGACTCGAACGTTTTCACCGCGATTTACGAGCTTTCTATCTTACCGTTCTTCGTGTATCGAATATCCTCGCTGACGATCCTGGATAGAGAACGCAACGCCGGTACGCGCGGCGTCGATTGGCGATGCGTAAAAGTAGGCTTATCGTAAATTAGCAAATTCCGTGCGCATCGCTTCTAACGTTCCAACGTCCGACCAGTAATTAGCGCTAACGAAATGCACCGTTCCCGTTTCCGCGTTCCAGCTTTCGGAAAGGTATCGCCGTGTATTATTTGGAGCTTTCGTTCTCGTGAGAGGGTACGCGGTTAGGTCTAGATCCGTCGAATCGATGCCAGCGCGTGCTGGTAATCGCGGTATAAAAATAGTAACCGAGGGTAATTAGCGTTGATCGGAGGAGTTATTTGTTGGTTGGTTGGTACGCGTGGTCCGGCGATACGGGTAACCTCTGTTCGTTCGACTAGCGTAATCCGACCACTTTCGAATGACCAGCCGGCCAGCTGGCTGACTAAGGTTAATAGAACTCGATTAAAACCGAAGCGATATCAGGCGATCCTGCTAGCTCCAACGATTTTTACGCCGAAATAAATTCCAATTAAAGCAGAGACGAGTATACGATCGAAAAGCGTTTTAGCTCGTTTGTACGACGTTTTTTGTTGCAGACGACGAACGTGGGTGGCAGCAACGTTGTGGAGAAACTCTCTTTCTACAATCACACGGAATGCGAGTGCAAAGAGAGGACCGAGTACGAAACGAACAACGAGAAACCGTTGGATCAAAGGATTTACAAACATTACTACTCCTCCCCGCAACCTCAGAACATGAGAAGGCCGCAACCGAGAAAACCGTGAGTTCGATGTTACGTGTTACGGAACGGATCGTCTCTCACGATTAATCGTCGTATGATATGTCGTTTAAAATGTGAATCAGGTGCCGATGCCCCTCGGAATTCACGCCGCGAATCACGCCGGAGGGCGAGTGCCAGTGCAACTGCTACGAGAACCATCACAACTGCGTCAAGATCAGACGAGGAAAGGGATACTTCTCCCTCGCCGATAGACTGTGAGTAGAGAATAGTCGTAGCATTGTTAGCGTAACGGGATTCAAGACTTTCCGGTAGAAAATTTGAAAAAACAGCCTCGAGTACCAGCACTTTCTCTTTCACGTTGGTTCTTCGATTCGCAGATGTATCCAGAACGAAGAGTGCGCGGCGCCTAGCTGCGAGTTCGGCGAGTACATGAGGCGACAGGGTAAATGTCCGCGAAAGAAGGACAAATTTGACGCGATAGTCAATTACCGTACGAATCTGAGCCACCGATACAGGAGTTAGAGAAACCAGGAGGACGTTGCGAGAACGTGTGCCAATCGGAAGAAGATGAACCAAGACGAACGACAAGTGAGAGGCGAAACGAGTCGAGGAAACGCGACGAATGCGCGGCGAACATTCGACGCGACGCGACGCGACGCCGACGGTGCCATTTTATTACGAAGTGCCTTTTTACCACAAACTCGTTATATGTATCATATACGCACATGTATATCCCCGAAACAGTTACGCATAGATGCATTCTGCTACTTTGAGCGTCGACCTCACGACTATATTTCGCTCCCCTTTATTACTATTACTACGATTATTATTATTATTATTATTATTATTATTATTATTATTACTACGATTATTATTATTATTATGTATTATTATTCTTTCTTTTTTATACTATTGTTATCGATACGAACGCGAATCGATGACGACCGGTCGACGAGAGACCAGTGATCGACTGCGCGCAACGGGTAGTGCCATTTATCGAGAAGAATACCAAGAATCGCAATCTTTCCGCCGAATCGATTCGGCAATTTCCCGCGAGATAAGCCGCGCACTCGTCTCGATTGTCACACCGTACGGTTAAAATGAACTTGGACCGTTACTCCCCGACGATTCTTCTCGAGAGTTTAACGGACTCGCGGACACGCCCTGCGAAACTGTATAAAGAGAGAAATCTATTTTGCGCCATGATGCAACCGCCCGCGACGTCGAGGCTCGTATACCAAAGCGAGGTACATAACCGCGATAGATGAGAGATAATTTGCGCGCAATTATATACAATCGATCCTTCGATGTGCTTTACTTTTTTCTTCTTCCTTTTTTACGTTCGCGGCGAGATCGTCGGAGAACCGTTAGTGACTGCCGCTAAAAAACGTATGCGCCGAGCGACGACCGACGACCGACGGCTAAAATCTGTTCGCGGAAGGTACGGTTTCGGTGTCTATTCGGGCTTTAATTGCCGCGATCGTACACGGGCCTAACGCAAGGATTCTTAATTTCTCATTTGTCGTTCGACCCATTCCTCTGCCGACACCTAAAAACGAACAATTTCACCAACGATCGAACACGGAGCCCGTTACTAGAACCGCGGATCTTTTCGCCAACAAAAATTCGCCGTTTTCAAAGGAAAAGTAATCTATCGGTTCCTCCACGGATTCACCGCGGAATTCTTGTCCATTTGTACAGACTATCAGCAGCGGTTCTTAAAAGAAGCTGTCTAAGTATACGAGAGAAGAAGAAAAGCTAACCTGTCTGTGACTCGACGTGTGTCCTTCGAATCCTTACCCACCTCCCTTCCCGATTCACGCTAATCGTGTTTTCTATGCTTTTATACGTATACGTTATCGTGATGTGTATGCACGTTTATAATAGCTAACGCGGTCGCGAATCGATGCGTTACACGCCATTTACGAACTATGCAAAATGCCATACCGCGATTCGCGCGTAGATCGATATCGCGGATACGTAACTCTATTGCTACTTTAGCAACATTCATTTTTCGACTTCATATTCGGCGAGGTTGTGGTAACGCGCGACATTTCGGGGATCTCTTGTACATTCGATTTTGATGGCTCGATGTATACTCGAATGCGATCGCATACGCATACGCGTTACGTTTCGAACGAGACCGTCCGCGTCTGTAGAATTTCTTGCGTCGAGTATTCGATCGTTTGAATCATCGCGAGAATGCGTGGACATCGTTTAACGTTCAGCTTGATTTTTTTTTCACTTGCTACCAACTTTAGGTAACATACATACATAGATATACGTAGGCAGAACAAATCGAACAGTAAAATTGTATAAAGAAATTCATGATTATCGTTTCAATAAAAGCGCAATTTACATTTAATTCTACTCGATTCAATTCGATGGTCGTCGACGTTCCGCGTTCCCACAGTTTTACGAATCCTGGGATCGTTTCGAAGCCGGATGGGTCGAGGATGCTGTTTCTTCGATTTATAATTACACCGAGTTAACACCACCTTCTCGTAACAACACTAAATGGAATCTAGACCGTTCGAAAAAAGGTGATAAGATACATCTAACTAGGAATCTTTTTAAAATTACGCTACACCACTGTAAAACCGAACTTAAACGAACGAGAACTTTGCTTTACCGAGTACTCTCCAAACAACCGACACGCGAACATTCCACTTGGTTCCAGTGTCGCCAACCGCGCTTGCAAGAACAGAGGGCGCGAAATTCAATCTCTGGAACCATGCATCGGTAAAACGGACAACTTCAATGGACAATTTCACGTATAATTGATAACTGCAAAACCACTGGTTTATAATTGCGATGCCAGATGGAGCATCGTGTACAACACGGTTATTGCGCGATAAGATGTGTTCGATGTTCACCAGTAAGTGGTAAGTACTGCCAACCTTTTCATCTCGGCCAGTCTTCGTCAGGGAGTTCAAGCTCGTGTACAAAGTTCATGTACAATCGTTCAAACTGCGACTGGACTTTCTCGGGTTTACTTTTTCATATAATTTAAAGTAATTTAAAAACTCACTACTGTATATATACATACACATGCGTATGCGCTCCACATTTTAGTTAGGTGAATCTTTCCCACGCGGCGCTACAAGCTTTGTACCGACTTTAAATACGTGAGCTTGGACATCCTGGTCTTTGTTACACCTCGTCTGTCATCAAACTGCTGTCATCTGAAATCCATTTTTCATTGAATTTACCGTTATTATCGGCAAGAATTCTTTTTGTAAATCTGCTCGTTTATGATTCATAGTTGAAAGTAGTATTCGAAAGAAGTAGCAATTATGGAAACTGCTCAGTCTTTGTACCTTAACCTCTTCGGCGACGATAAGATTCACGCTTTGAAAGAAGTAAGTACCCTAAACAAACGCATTCTATCGTCTGTCAGCACAAAATTAATGTATATAATTTAGTTATTGCATGCCTGCGTGGATGAAATATGTGGTCGACCAGGCCCATCTTATCACAGGTTTGCGAATAGCGTTGTATGGAGCAGACAAGAGTACGAAGACACATACAAAACGATATCGATACTTTTGCGGAATCCTGCTTGCTTATATTTGATAGACGAGAAGGTATAATTATGGGATCGATAAAATTTTCGGATATTGAGAAACCTGATGAAAAGTTGATGGTATTTTTGTCAGATGCCTCAGGAGTATCACGAATTGCCAGAACCTATTCAGCAAAATTTATTAACGTGTTTGAAAGCGCGAAGAGAACAGTTGACCGACGCTTTGTTGAAAGAGCACTCGAAAGAAAAGTATGAAACGCTAATCGATTTCGATTGGAGATTAAAGGTAAACTATCGAACTATTACTTTAAAAAGATATATATACATATATAAATATACATACGCATACAGTGATTTAATTATTGTTAACAGCTTATAATGGGTTCCAGTAAGTTGTCTTCTTTAAGAGAATCTCTTCTTCAGTTGGACCTTGTCGTGGAAAATAGGGACGCGAAACGTATTCTGAGTTTAGAATTAAATAAAGATGAATTGGAAACGTTTATAAGTGCCATAGAAACTGTTGCATGATCAATAATGTATATAAAGCGACGTTGGACAAGACCGATTTCTTATTTATCGTTAATATAAGTTTAATTGTTACAAGTTTCTTCGAAAGTGAAATAAAGACACATTCTTTTACACTTGTTTCACAGTTTATTATAGGTTATAGATAAATGTAGAATAGTTTAATTACTCTTATAACTGTTGATCGAAGATACCGAAGACTGTTGTTCTGCGTCCGAAGCGTATTCGACTCAAAGATCTCGTTTACAATTTTGTAGTTTCCTATCGCGCAAAATAAATAAACGAGGCTTGCGTCGACGATGCCTCAGAGTTATCGATCGATAATTTGAGACACTTTTTCAGTCAGGTTCAAGGATTTTAAATAAAAAAAGTTTGCTCTCTTCGCCAAAATTTGTCTCGAAAAAAGAAGGTGAATTTCGTTGTAAAGATCATTACGGACAATATATTTAATGAAAGGTTTACTATACAACTTTTAATTTTACCTCCTTCTCCTTACTCGTTAATAATAATAATAATAATAATAATAATAATAATATATCGTTTAAAAATCAATGCCGGTCGCGGGCATGGTGAACGCTCGCTCCATTATAACGCTTAGAGATATTCGGAGATTTTGGAGCATTTACACATATGATATAATGCGCGTTTTCGTTAAACTTTACGATCTACGCTACGTTCTTGATAAAAAAAGCTTCCGTAGTTAATTATTTTACTCCCGGTGATCCGTTACGAACGAATTCTTTTCGAGTTGTAAATTGTGCATGTTTCGTAATTGTAATTAGGCGATATTTTATAATGATGATTATTATAAAATTATGAATAGGCTTCCTCGTATGGAGAAGTAGCATTTCGAACGAACGCCGAATTTACACAAATGCTTTCTCTATGTCTAGATTATATATCTCACTTACACTGTTGTCTCGACTTATTGTATGTTTCCTTTTTCTTTTTCGTTTTCTTTACTCCTCTCTGTACGTATATTCGCGTGTAATTATTCCCCTTGGTTACGTGTGTTTGCGCGTATCATGTACTAGCGCGTACCAAAGTCATACACGTACAACTGTGTGCAGTTCCCCGTTACAACATAAAATTTCTCGATTGTATAATTACAAAGAAAAATAAGGACCGCGAAAGAAATATGAATAAACTAATCGACTTTACCTTATTCGAGTGTTTCGTTACTCGTGCGAGCCTCGACGTGTTTTTCCACTCTCTCTTTTCTCCCAGCTTGTTTCATTTTGAGTTGACGATCCGACGAAGATATCATTCCAAATTTTCGACATCATTTAGTTCGATCCTTTCTTCTCTCTTTCTCAAGCGCGCGCACACACATACACACACACATACACTCTCTCTCTCTCTCCCCCTCTTTCTCTCAAATGTATTCGAACGACGGCACTCGCGCATCTCGATCCCTTAGCTTACGAATCTTTTTCTTTTTCTTCGCACTCTTTCGATGTAGTAATTGTGTAATAGTTACGAGTGGTCGCGCGCGATTCAATCAATATTTTCCCATAGAGAACGCGACAAACGATGATCCTCTTGATCGTCTGCTCTTAGGATATTCATCTTACTTTGTCGTTTGTCCGCTGCACGATGGTTGCGTAATTTGACTTAATTTAATAACAATGAGGTTTTTCTTGTTTCTTTCAAATTGTATACAGCACGGCCGGTCACGGCGTTATTTAAACCGCGAGTGAGCGATATAGACGGATGTAGAAAATTGATCGTTTACGATACTAGTTTTGGAGAGAGAAAAAGAAACAGCGTAAACCAGCAGCTTTGAGGTGTACCAACCATCTGCAAAAGACGACACGTTTTCGAAATCAATCGTTTTACTCGACTCAACCTCGTAACTTCGTTTTCTCCCCGATGAATACGACCGTAGCCTTTCGTGAACATTCTTGTTCGCCCTGCCATCAAATGCCACCTAATAATTATTAATAGGCCTACGATAAAGTCTATAATGCTCACGCAATGTCGCGGTAACATCGTCGTCGTTCCATTTCTTTATTTTCCATTTTCCTCTTTTTTTTTTTGTTGTTGCTCGTAACGAAAGAACGTTATTTTCTGTTTAGTTGCAGGAATGGTCCAAATATACATATCTATATAATATATTTTTTTGGTTTTAACGAGAGAAAAAAACTTTCTTCTTCCCAAAATACAATTCGGTTAGTGGCGTTTATTCGTTTATGTTGTTTTGGTAATGAGCGTCCGCGATAATTGCCTGAGGAGGAAAAAGAATCGATCGTTACATAGGATGAATCGAAAGCAACCGATAGCAAGGGTGAGATACAATCGTATGCCAGGTACACTTACGTTCGTATTACACTCGATGGTTGCCGCCGCGACAGCCTTATCGCTTATGTCGATCTCTTCGATAGCCTTTAACAAAAAAAAAAAATGACGAAGTAGTAAGGTTAATAGCTGTATTAGGAACAATACGTGGATTCTTCTTCCGAAAAGCGGAAACAAACTTAACAAGAATGTCGATCAGATGGCCCCTCGCACTCTATTCTTCGTTGGACATTAAACTACGTTAATGACCTCAGAATCGCTCACGCTAATCAACGCGAACGATCTTTCGGCGATCATCATTTGTACTTTAAACCGTATTAAGATATATTTCGTAAAACGGGAAAATACCTTAGCTACGGAGGCAACATCTTCCGTAATGGCAGGTGCAGAAGGTGGAGAGGCGGGAACTTCGGTCGGGATGGCTGCGGGTGTAATCTTGGTTTCTTCGGAACTTTCCATCGTGTTGTCGCGAACTACGTTATTTTCTACCGGTGCTTCGGGTTCCACGATGCTCTGCAAGACAAACTGTTCGTTAGAAAATTCGATCTTGAAAACGAACATCCGCGCCAAGTCCAAATCCCAGCATGCTACGAGGACAAAAGACGTAAAAGTCGATTCCGGCGAGCCACTCGAAACGAACAATGAGAATCACGCGAACGTTAACCACCTTTTCGTGCACGCGTACAACAAACTGTGCAGCGCGCTGCATTTCAAAGACTACCGTTACCGGTACGTACAACTCTAACCGTTCTAAATCGTATGGGAATAATCGAATGGCCAGACAGAATCGTGCCGCCTCATGCTTCGGACAGCGCAAAAAGTATTGGAAACCCTCTGCTGGCAAAACCCTTGAATAAGAAAACTCTGCATGCGCAATACAAGATGCTTACGACACAACAGATGCAATTACGGAAAGAGGACGATAATATCGACGTCTAAACGTAAATTCTATATGCCACTGATCAAGTTCTAAACGTCAGTTCTATTTATACGTGTGACAATAAAGTGTTTTACGTCTATCAATGAGATTCACGCTAAAAAATTTGTCTAAGTCGAGCTGCTATAAAGTTACATTAGCGACAATGTTTCGAGGAAATTGATCTTTCTCGGCTAGTGCATAGGCAACATTTGCTCTTTATTTCTATGTGTCGAGCTACGGAATGCTCTACTTTTCAACGCCTCGATTCGAATAACAAGTCGTGTTAATATCGTCAAGAAAACCAAGAGGCAAACAACACAGGTGATGGCAGTAATGATGGTATCTGGTGGTTGGTGGTAATGGTAATAGCGGTAATGGTGGATGGTAATTGGAAGTGTCACAGGAGATGACAGCGACAGAGTAGACATTGTTAATCACGTTCGACAGATCGAAGAATGCATTCGACGAGAGACCTTTACGACACTGAATCCATACGGGGAGCATCGGAGTACGCGTTAGAGAAGCGAATAAAGGAGAGGGCAGGAATTTAGTGGCACGAATACATTCGATTCGGTTGGGTTTACGGTGTCCATCGTGCATGGAAACGTCGGGAACATTTGTTTTCGTTACTGATGACTTTTCCGGTAGATGAAATTCGTGCAAAATACACACAGACGTCGATGTCAGTCCCAGTCTTACTCGATTACCCTTCGTCGAGAGAAAGTCATTATGCGAAGATTGTCGATATCGGATAGAAGACAATTATCTATTTAGGCTTCGAAGCGAAGAGATTAAACGCAGGAAGAATGTTTGGCGACAGAGTACTGGGAGAGAATATATTTGAATTCGGGAACAGAGAAGATAGAGGGGCGGGGAGAGAGAAAAAGAGACAGACAGGAGAGTCGATATTTTCAGATTATATCACAGAAATGGTTTATGCGGACCGTAACGGCGATATACTTGGAACGGAGGCGCCACGAAAGGTTTATCGGCTGCCTGAATTCATGCCAGGAGGTTGTGTTACATGTTAGTCACCTGATGGGTCTCCTGGACAGTGGTTGACGACGTGGCGTTGTTCGACAACTGACACGAGATCGAGCTCTCTTCCTGGTGCATAGTCTCCGCCAGAGACTCTGCTAACCTCTCCTTTAATTCAATGTCGGACTCATTGTACGAATCAAGGCTTATGGACACCGATTCCATCTTGAACTCTCGATTGCTTTGGTCGTCGTGAAACTGTGTTCGCGAGGAATCTTTCGTGGATGTCGTCAGACCGGACGTGATACTGTCGGTGGTTCGAGGACTGGGACTTCTAGGCGGTGTTAAAAGTGCCTCTGTTGGGTTTCTTAAAATGGACGCGTTTTGGATAGGAACTGGAACGTCGTTGTTCGTTTCGGATCTATCGATATCTGCGATTAAGGAGCAAGGAAGCTCTTCCGGTGGTAACGGATATTCGAACGAATCTACGCATGAAGATTCTCGGGGAATGTCGTCGTGTGTTGGAACGTTTTCGAGCCTAGACGGAGAAGTATGCGGCGGAGATCGAATCTCTGGACACGAGTCCTTTTCTACGTCGATCGAACGACCCGATGATATTTCCAAGGATGCGTCTGTGGGAGAAACGGGGGGGACGTTGAAGAGAGAGCAACGTTCGCTCGACGATTCAATGCGTTCCGTTCGCGGAGAAGAAGGCCTCTCGGATTCGCGCATTCTTTCCGCTGTTTCGGAGGGTTCTTCTCGTACGTCTACGTCAACAGGGGAAGGGGTCACGATCGAATCATCTTGAACGCTCGCGTTCTCGGAGTCCAATTTTTCTCCAAGATTAGCTTCAGGTTCGGATTCTGATACAAGTGGAATCGATTCTTTGCTTTCGGCTATTATCTCAGCTACTTTGTCGAGAGTATTCTCTACTAATGCGCAGACAATGCGGATAGACTCGCTTCCCGGTTGGAGAGAATCGTCGGGGGTCGGTGCGCTCGGAGCGACACTTTTCGAGCCTTCGGATACGACGAAAATCTTGTCTTCCGCCTCTGACACAAATACCTCTTCGACATTGCCGATAGCCTGAACCGATTCCGTATTCACTTTAAAATGATCCGCGTCAGTTTCCGTTACTTCTTTCTCGACAATTTCGTCGTCCTCCGGAATAACGACCGCTGGCTTAGCTTCCACTACGATCTCCTCCTCCGAGAGTGGAACCGGCCCTTCTTCGGAGTTTACGAAAGAATCGGACACGGAGATCGATGGATCAAGAACGATTTCCTGTATCGGTTTCGTGCCTTCTCGTACCACTTGGTCCGGCTCGACGATCTCCGCGACCAATTCTTCGTCCGGTGTATTTTCTCCGGTACACTCGACCTCGGCCTCGACGTGTATGCCAACGATATCGTGGGTTAGGTTTGATTCCGGGGAGGCTTGAACTATTTCCACCTTGTTCGAGATTACTGGCTCGGAAACGGGTTCGATGATCTTTTTGTGATCCGCGATCTCGCAAGTTTTCTCAGAGTTTACGGTTTCCGAACGAGTCTCCGTTACGGGTCCCTCCGTTTTGTCGGTGTTACGTGACTCTAGAGTCGCTGTAAGCCCAACATTCGAACGAATCAAATTTTCGTCTACCACCGGCGGAGCGTTTAATTCTGGGAGGACGGGTGGAGTCGATTCCGTTCGGGATCTGTCTGTGGGAGAACCGGGTGGTCTCTGGGGAAACACATCAAGAGGTTCAGCGGGTGGTATCGACGATGTATCGTTAAGCTTCGGACAAGAGGAAGTGGAAGATAAGGCATCTGTCGGCGGTGCGATGACATTCTTGTCCGCGCCAGCAGCCTCAGCGGGCAACTTGAGGGCCTCCGCGAGGGCGGTCGCGGTCGCCGCTGCCTGCTGAGCCTGCTGCAAAGGTGTCGGATCTATGGGGGTCGGGGGTGGACTGGACGGAGGCAGGGAAGGAGTATCCTCACTGGTTTTCCTCTCAATGATAGACGGCGTAGCGACTGTCTGGACTCGGAAAATGGAGCCATCTACCGGTTCCGGTACGAACTGACCACCGGCTGGACTGACCTCGACTACTTTTTTCTCGGCCTCGACTTTTTCGACTTCCTCTTTCTTTTCCTCAACAGGGACGGGAGTGGGGGCAGAGGGAGTGGGTTCCTCCTGCTTTTCGTCGGCAGGGCTACCAGCGTCCACTGTCGGGCCATCTTCCTTCGTCTCGGTGGAAGGTGTCGTCGCTGTTGTCGTCGTTGTTGCTGTTGCTGTTGGTGTTGCCGTCGGTGTTGCCGTTGCCGTCGCTGACACCGACACCGATTCGTTCTCCGCGGATGGACTACTTGCTACCGACTTCTCCTCGACTGGGCTAGCTGCCGTTGCCGATACGTTCTCAGCTTCCTCTCCACCCTGAAACATCGGTGGAAAATTTCGTTTATGTTACGTACGATCTCGCCGGGGGGTGCACGCAAATACTGTGTCGCCCTTTCGTCGCCTTTACGAATCGCATGTTTTTGTTCGCCGACAAAGAGTGACCAACTCGACAATTGTCGCCTATTCTTTTCGTGCCCGGGCTAGAGGGTTACGGTATGCATTCTGAGAAACTCAAAGAGAAGAGAGGGTGAACAACCTAGCGACGCGTAGACGAGAGGTGTTCGCAGGAGGTACGCGGTCCCGCGAGGCTTAAGCGCGAAGGGCTTGTGAAAGAATCGACACCGTAGGGTACCGAACTACCAACGCAACTCGTCGACTCTTCAGAGGTGGCCTTTCGTGTCACTGTGTCAGCAAGTACCTTCGAATAAAATCGTAAACGATTTTTGTTTTACGATCGTTCGCGATATGCTACCTTCTCTGCATCCATTGGACAATATACGCTCAGCTAACCCTGATATCAGTTTCCTCGAAAGGAAACGTACGAGAGAAAATCTGCTTCTGTCATGGAACCGCGTTGGAAATATTCAATGTTCTCGCGATAAAATAGAATCGAACGTTCGTAATCGCGTATCTTGTCGCATTCGTGAGAAATACGCGCGAAGGCGGAATCGATCGTTGAAACCGAAGAGGGAAACGGAAACCGGGCACGCGGAACGTGTCGCGTGCTTTATCGTTCCCAGTCCTCGCGTATCGATCGGTTGGGTTAACGCGAAACCTCTTCTCGTCATCCCTCTCCTGCATTTTCGTAAGGGGTAAGCCTCTCGCTTAAAGAATTATATACAACCCCTGATTGCGAAGGGATGTAACGTAAGGGCTCTCCATAGTTCCAAGTGTTTTTTCTCAGACATTTCACGCTATTCGCCAAGTTTCGTCTGTACACACACACACACACACACACACATCCGTACACGATCCGTCGTAGTTTTCGACGATTCGATCTGGTAAACAATTCGAGGAGAGGTTGTTCGCACCGCGGTTAAACGGAAGACGAATAATGAACGATTACGTAATATACACGGCAATAAACGTATTCCGATGAACCGTGCAAGAGTACAAGAGAGCGAGAGACCGAGCCTGTCACCTATTTCTACCATCTCTTCTCATCCGTCTATTTCTTTCGAAACCGATAACCCGACGAACAATGTAAAATTAACTACGACCTCGGAACAGATACGACGAGTCTCGTTGACTTTTGCAAGCGTAGCCAACTGAGAAAGGTTAACCTAGGTCGGAAATGCTCTTTACTCGTTTCGGTATCGCGCAAACGGATATAGTCCCGAGATGAAAGGACTGGTTCGTTGCTAGGATAACGACCGCGACGTTCGCGAGCGTTTGTTAATTCTGCGTCGTACCAAGGGAGAAGAAGACTTTGTGTCGTCGGTCGAAGGGTCCGGTGTTGCAGCGACGCCCAAAAGCGGCACGTAAGACAAAACTCTTCTGGCTCCCCGAGCGAAAAAGCCCACCACTCGATATACACCGTTGCTCACGCTTCGACCTGCCTTCGTCGCAGACTCCATCTCCGTATAGATTTGTTAATCGCCGTTTGTAAAACGACCTTGAAGCAAACACATATACTTTCGCATATACTTTGACCGAGTCGAAATTCAATCCGGATAACCAAAGATCGCGACGAAACTTTTCCAAGACCGTTCTCGTTCGAATTTCTAAGGATCTTATTTTAGAAGCGTAGGACGGTTTGCATGGTGTGTCTCAAAATATGCGATACTGCGATGAAAAATAAATGATAAATCTGGATGGTAGCGTAACGTTTCTCGTACACGAGATTTCGTTATCGAAAAAAAATTTACTCTGCGTTCCCGATGTATTTTCCGCCAAGTTACCAACGCTCTGGCTGTCTGCCTGCGTTCGTTCGGGCTGCAACGCTTATTTTGGGACAGTTTGTATACACGGAGTGCTGGAAGGCACCCGTTCACAGCCAGCCTACTTTGCCATTATCTATTAATAGAAGCAACTATCCGTCCGTGCTATTCGATGCTACGCGAGAAAGACGTATGCCTCGTATCTGGTCAGTTTGAGAGTCCAAAAGGCGTCTCCGAAATGCACAGTTTCGAATAGCTTGGCCGATAAGTCGAATCGATTCTCGAAATTCATTGGATGGACAATATTTTTAAGTTGCGCGAAAAACTTTCTGCGGAAAATTTTCGCGACAAAGGTACGGAAATGTATCGTTTCGAAATATTCCGGGTAAAATATCGAAACGGGATCATGGTTCGTCAGCGTTCGACACGAAAAATCGATTTTCGATCTACCTTCTCTACGGACGCACGACAAACGAACGATAGAACGCACGTACCCGCGCACGCACGCACGTACGCACGATTGCAAGCACAAACGCGACTATATCCCGCAGACGAAAACGTAAAGACGAACGGCAGAGAAGAGAATGATCCACGCGAACTCTGTTCGCTGTTGGCAAACTACTTGGACCAGACCGCGAGTTCACGGTGGTTTATATAGAATCCAAGAGAGGATAGTCCCACGTATCGGAGAGAGAGAAGAGAGGAGTGTTGCCGATACACGCGTGGCCACGTGACATCGAAGAGAAGAGGGACGTATCTAGCCAGACTAAGAGAACACTCCGAGAGGAATACCGCGGAACGACGTTATCATCCGAGACGATCCTCTCCCGGGTCCCGGTTACGCGGGTCGCCTTCAATAACAAAAATAATATGTTATCGTGCGAAAGAATGATTATTCGGGCGTTGTCGAAACACTCGTCGCGAAAAAGCAAACTTTACTTCGAGTCCGCGTTGAGAACGCATCGAGCGTCGAACGTTGACCAAGAAATCGGTACGCGTTCGCAAACGAAAGAAATATATTCACGCCGCAAAACCATCGATCGTTGCTATTCTTAGACAACGATCGAAAGAGAAAGGAATCGAGAGAGGCGAAAACGAGCGAAGGTAAAAGGGAACGATGGAGACATACTGTATTAACAAAACGGAAGGAACCGCGATGGGGACGGCGATGGCAACGTCGACGTAGATAGCAAGTACGCGAGAGCTATTCGTCTGGAACGGCCACGCCCCAAAGAAAATTTTTGAATCAGTTCCAAACTTCAAATGCTATACGCTTGACCTTTAAACAGCGTTAGTCACCAAGTGAGTCAATTGGAAATTCAAGCTGTCTTTACAGCGCCAGCGATGGGGTGGTTGCCCGAACTATATCATCGGTGCGTATCACATCGCATGAATCGAGGTCCACTGGTCGCAATGTAGCGACGGATGGTACCCGCACGGTCCGACCGTAACGTCTTTCATCTCGTAGATCGAAAAATCTATCGTTAAAATCATTATTTTCAATCAGTTTCAAATAGTTTAATTTCTTATTCTTGAATCTTACTTTCGCCAATTGAGCTGATTTTGCGATCTTTTGATCGATCGATCATCGATTCGACGGTGTATAAAACTATATAAAACGTTTCAATCGTTCAAGATATTCCACGGTAGTTATGCGAGCGATCGCCGGTGGCGGTATCGACCGTCGAGTCGGTTCGAAATTATTCGTGGACCGAGAAAGGATGGTGGGGGGTTACCAACCGAGAGATCTGAACGAGAACCATCGGCTGCAAACGTACTCGCAGATGGAGACAAAACATTCTTTTGCAAACGGTGGAAAGGGAGTTCTCGTTACGACCGACATATTAATTGACGTTAACAGTGAAAGACACGCCGCGCTAACGAACCAGACATTTCTACGGTCTTTGCACTCGAAAGAAACTAAACCGCGTTTTCTGTTCGTCTCCTTTTAAAACATATCAACATGGCCCGCAGTAGGACGATAAAGAATAAATGCTTCGCGTAAATAAAGTCGAGAATACACCTACTCGTTGTTACTCATAGCGAAAACGGTTCTCCTAATAGTCATAGTCATAGTCGCAGTCGCAGTCGCAGTCGACAACAGGCTTCGGAAAAGGACGCGTGCACGCGCCATTCTTGTATATTCACCCTCTGGTCTGGTCTCTTCACCCCTTGAAGAGGGTCGCGCGAAACGCGATACAAGGAGGGTGTACGTGGATAGAAAGAGGTAGGTATCGATTTTATCATTCGTATACGCAGTTTCAACCGCACGAGAAAGCCGGAGAAAGCGAACAGTCGAAGGGAGTGGTCAACGGTGAATGATATTTTTTAATCACCAGCAAAATTTCTGCGATTACGATGCAAACACGACGTTGGCGACGGAATCGATCGATCGAAGCAAAAAGGTGAATAGTCGGTCGAAAGCCCTCGTATCGCGATACTCTGGAAATGAAACGTGAAAAATCTCATCTGCGCGCTCGCACTCCTTCCTTCGCGATTTACAGGATGCTGTTTGCATCCAAAGTTACGCGTGCCAACAGGAAAACGACTATGCTCCGTCTGTGAAGACGTGTTTATCTCGTGTTTTGTAATCCATTGCAATTTTAACGAATACCATTGCTTTTCGCATAGGCTCGACGACGGACGAACGGCGGACTAAAATATATTCTGCCACGAATCGAACGCGTACTTTTCAACGAAACAAATACGATGAACGAGAAACAAAGTCGACGAGAGATTTTTGCTCGTACGCGAGAGCTGTGCTAACCTTTCGCCTGGTAACCAGGCAGGCTGCCTGGCAAATGCGAAAAGCCCTGGTAGCCCTGTCGGTCGGCATGGCAACAGCTCCGCGCGTCCCGGCGTCGAGGCGCTCGATACTAGACGACGACGACGCCCAAATCCAAAGGGACGAAGAGGAGCATTGGTCGTGAGCGACGCGTGGAAAATCAACGCGCATTTCGGAGCGAGTACACGGTATCGAGGATCAACGAGTCGATGTATCGAACTTTGCGCAACGGACAACGTGTCCGTCAATCAAAAACGGAGGAGAACGCGTGCGTATCGTTCGGATACCAGCAGTCCCTTCAGGTAATCCGTTTAATCCGAATAGAGATCCCCTGATGGCTTCGACGATTCTGGCCGCGGGCCAACGAATCGGTTCGAGGCTGATTAGTTTGCAATCGCGTATCGTTTGCCCCGAAGAGTACGCGTCCGAGTCTCACAATTTCTCGACCATCCCCCTAACTCGAAATGCTACGCGAGATTCGATCGAATAGTTAACAAGACCCTAACCACGTATAAAGATCAAGGATTCGTTGTTAGAACGAAGAAAAGGACACCGATGATTTTCTTTTTCGATTTTCTTTTTCGATTTTCTTTTTCGATTTTCTTCAAGGCGGATGTCATTTAAACGGAACCCTATCCTCCCAGTAGTAGAAAGGGTCGTCATCGAGAAGGTTCTCGTTCGCGATGTTTTGTTGTTCCATCGGCTGGGGAATGGAAAAATCTGCGACGCCGTATCGATTTCAACGACGTCGAGTATTTATACGACGGTCATCGAACCTCCAGAGTGGAGACCTCGCGAAACGCACCGCGCGCAAGCGCAACCGCGCACCACCTCTTCCGCCCGAGTTGTCGCAAGTTTCGTGCTTTTTATTCGCGTTCCACCTGTCGCATTGTGCTCTCGAGCTGCCGTGAACGGACGCGTGACGTGGCGTGGCGTGGTGTGGCGCGGAACAAAATGCGATTGACACTAGGAACGACGAGCATCCTCTCGTTCATTGTCACGACGGAGAACAAAATAGGAGTAGGATGACCGAACGACCAAACAAGAGTGGACGAGAAAAGAGGAAAGCGAGAAGGGAATATCCATAGGGAATTTTTAAGATTGAAAATCATTTTATTTTCGAACAGCCGAAATTCATGTCACGTTATATGGTGAAAAATGCTGCGAGGCGATGAAATGGGTGGGTAGTAACAGATTAAATATGTCTCGTTACACAGCTTGAAAAGTAGAAGGGAAATGCGAAGGGAGTGCAAAAGTGTTTACCTTTGCGTAACATCGAACGAACAGGGATGCAACGAAAGATATCCTATCATCGTATGTACCGACTCGATTCATTTTCCAGCGTTCGGGCCGGATGGTTGAGGAAAATTCGCTATCGATAAAAGGAACGGACGGATGGATGGAACAGTCATCGGATGAATTTCATCCGAGACATTAGGAATGAAATCGAAGCCGAGAGAGACTACCAAGACGCCATCCGTGGCGAATGAAACCGGTTTTTAACCATCCGGCCGATCTTTTGCCACCGGTGTATTCTTTGCGATGTATGCATGTATAGAACGATGCACGAGTAACTGCAACTGTGATATATTTTTTTAAGACCTGCTGTATCTCGTCACATAAATTTTTATCATCTCGATGCGCTACCAACGAGCTTATAACATCGAACAAATCGTTTCCCCCTCTTGTCGAATCTCTGGCTAACCTGTTCGAATAATCTATGCGAAGAAGAAAGACACGTATATGTACGTACACTGTTCGCGACCATAAAACGGTAAGAAGGAAAAAACTGGCGAAAAAGCTTCGCTTGCTCCTTATCTTGCTACGCGTGGCTCGCTAAACCTCCCGTTACATAGGCTGCTCTTAACCCTCGTGTACAGGTGCTTTCCTTTTTTTCTAGAGGGTTGAGCCACGCGAGGCGAGGCAACCGACACCTTTGGCCTACGATTCTACGTTAAACTCCCTAATCTCTCGAATTGTTTGCTAAAGTAGTACACGAAAAAATCGCACACCCAAAATTCGATTACCTCGAAAGCATCGGATTTCGGGAGAAAACAACGCAGGTTTAATCTACACTTTAGATGCGCGCGCTGGGAACGAATATCGTGCGTCGAACCGAAGCCTATTCCGCGACAAAATAACGCGCCGCGTAGGTAAGCGTATCCGGGAAGTTTGGGCCATTGAACCGTGGTACCAGCGAGTACAATGAGTAACAGAAGCGTAGTCGATCGTCGATCGGTCCCCGACCAGCCCCTTTACCGATTTCTCTGTCAGATATGCCTCATTTCCTACGGGAAACGATGCCCACGTTCCACATCGGGTCCTTAAACGACGGGGAGAATATTTACGTGTTATAATTGCTCCCTTCCTACGTCGCGAAAACCGAGAGAATCATCGACGGTAAAATTTATACGTCCACAGTTTTGGAAACTGAGAAAGCTTTTTCGAAGAATGCGAGGTAAGCATTCCCGCTTTATGCAACAGCAATGCGCGCTACACGGCGAACAAATCTCTTCGCGCGTAGTCGTCCGCGTCTGTAAAAATGTTCCACACACGCAAATCCGAGCGATGATTATGCAAGCGCGAGACGAGGAGGCGACTAGCAGACCAAGAGAGATCACACCTTCTCGAATCGGCTAGACTAGACTTACAATTAGAGAAGATGATATTTATACGATACAAATAGCGGAGATTTTGTTGATACGAGGAACAATAAAGTAGACACTCGCTCTGTATTGTACAAAGTTTACAGTGTTCGAAGTCATTGGAAAGCGACTGGGCTAAACTGTGCACAATAAATGAACAGCGAAAAGTAACGAGTCGCGATAACGCGGTCGACGATCCAATCTTTTATCGAAACCACGACTAACCGGGAAAACGAGAACGAAGAGAGACGAGGTGTGCGCAGAGATAAGTCATGCTTTAAATCGGTGTCGTATTACTCGCTGTACAATGACATCTTGCTATTGCGAAGCGTACCGCGCAGGACACGCACACGCGCGCGCGAACACGCTACTGCTCGTCGTCGTTCCCTTAATGACTCGGAATGCTGATTGTTCGTTCGGGAGAGTGAAAGTCGCGGTCCAAGTTCGCGGGATTGGCTGCGTTGGTTGGTCGGTTCGAGGACTTCCATCGCGGAGAAGCGAGTCCTTTGAGCGTGCTACAAAAAGCTAACGCGTCTTACGAAAAACTGGGACGATAAATAAAATACAGAGAACGAAACGACAAGTGTATTTAGATTTCACCTATTCGCCAGATGGCAGATATCTCAGTCTTATCTCGGCGAGTAAACAATTTTCCCAAGCGAGCAAATTTCCCAATTGGGGGTGGTATGGTCAACAGCCGCGAACGATTTATTCGATCTTCGATCACGAACCGTAGAGTGCGGGAGACACTAGGTACAGACAAAATAGCCCTGAAGTGGCAACCGAGCGCTGAGAAGGATAATTCAGTGACTCGAAGCCGGTTTTCCATGGAGGCCTATCACGAAACTCGCGAGGTACGACGAACCAGAAGGATGAGTCACGGCCTGCTCGGTTGTCTCACTCCTCTTCTTTCTACCGTGGCGAGGTTGGAGCAAAAGGAAAGAGTCTATGGTTGCTCCGAACGCGCTCGAGAGAGAGAGAAAGAGAGGGGGGGGGGGGGACACAGAGAGAAGGAAGAAGCTGAAGAAGGTGGTAAGAAACGTGGAGGATTAGCCTCGACGATCTTGCGGCAACGGTTCGCCTACACGCGGCTAGTTCGACGACGAGAATGAGAAACGAAAAACGAGAAAAAGGAGACGAGCCAACCTCGCTACTTATTATGTACATTCGCTCGCGATCCGATTTATAGCGGGCAACTGTTCGGAAATGAAACGTATTCCTACTATTGGCTGTGAAACGAACAAATTTCCCGACTCTTCCTACTCGCGATACTTGGCTTGAGATCTTTGCTAGAGACCTTGATGGTTCGTAATACTAAGAAAAATATAAAGAAGAAATCAAGTGTCGGATCTCTCGGATCTGTAGAAAAAAATACTCCAAGAACTGTGATGAAATCCCTCCAGTCCGTAACGATAGCTTCGAAGATGCATCTACGCGGTGCAACATTCGATAGCCATTCGCGAGTCGGACGATCAAGGCTAGGAAGCTATAAATATCGACGGGGGAAACGATGGAAATGCGAGCGAATATTATGATACAATTGACTTTGTTAAGACAGAGTATTATTTTTGTACAATAAATCTTTGATAAACAGCACGAAACGTCTAAAGGATTTATTAGACGTCTCGAGGTCAATTAAACACCGAAGGAGCTTTCGATCCGTGACGGTTATCCCGTGATCGCTCATTCTTCGCTCGATTGTACCGCTACGCTCGCGCCGCGACCGCGTGCATGACTCGAAGAAAGTACGAATCATAGTTCGAGCGGACAAAGTCTGGAGCGCTGGAGTCTGCGTTACGCTGGCATTACCGTCGTTGATTGCTTCCATTATTCTTCGTTACCAAACTAACGTAGTCCGGTTAACCGACAAAGCCTTTAATCGATAGCCGTCGTGATTCGCGTTTCTTTCACGATTCCATGGCAGAGGAACAAGCGCGTTCGCGTTATTAGATCAAAGATTCTTTACTCACCTCTGCGAGTGGTTCCTCCTTGGTGACATCCCCATTTTTGGGAGCCTCTTCGCGGGCAGGTTTGCTCTTATCCTTCTTGCTGAAGCTGATCGACCTGAAGGACCACTTTTTCTTCACCTATGAACGAGGAAATGGCATCGATAACGATCGAAACAATCATTTCGCATAACTACATGTTTTAATTGTCTAAAGCACGTTCACGCGTATCCGTCTCGAGTGTAACGATACATGACGCCGAACCGATCCATCAGGCTATCGGAACGTTCCAAACGTTCTCTAGCCCAAACTATCCGAGTGGAAATTCCACATCGTAGATCGCTGCTCTGGGATTGAATTACTCTCACCTTGTCCTTCTTTTTGGTTTCCTTGACGTCTGGGGAAGTGGCAGCGTTGGGACTAGCAGGTGTAGCTTCCGTGGGTGTCGTGACCTCCGCCGTTTCCGCAGCGGATTCTTCGGCTGATAATTGCTTCGCATCTTCAGCCTTTACTTCTTCTTGCTGAAACGAAACACGGTCCACTCGATCAAGTAAATTTCTACGATAAGACACCTCGAATGGTTATACGCCACCGCGTTGTATAATCGCGTCGGCAAATCTCCGGTCGCGACAAATAAAAGATCGGCAACCTTCGCTGCGGCAAAGTACGAAAGGCAGGTGTGTTCCATATGAGGAGCAACCGGACCGGGAGAGCATGGGCTTTTCCGAGTGGTCGGGAGCGCACCTGCCTCGCGATTTTACAAGATCGCGACGATGCGAAGCGAACAACGCGTGATATGATTTCAAGAACACCTCTTAATATAGCTCGCCAAGTAATCGCGAATCATGCTAGCGAAAGACGCGATAAAAGATTTATTCGTCCCGAACGGTCAGGTTAAACGCATTACGGTAACAACGCTTACACGGTGAAACGCGATTACAGTTAGCTCTGCGAGAACGCGTTACCGGTGTGCGTGCACTCTATCGAGTTATCTCCCGTGCACGTAGCAATTTTTCGGACTACGGAAGCATACAGTCGGACGTAAAACTTTACATCCACGTTACGGTAATCCTCGCTTTACACGGAAACCATCATCATCGACATCATCAATAATCATTGAGAAATAGAGTGAAAAACGAAGATTCGAATGGTAATATAAGGACGACGAAAGTCTAGAACGTATAGAAAGTATAGCATGTATATTTCGATCGAAGGAAAAAGGAAATAGGAGAAGAATTTCTATCGAACGGAAACGAAGAAAAGTATTTAATTTAATATATCGTACGATACAGGTTTCGAGCCTTCGACGTTCGCCTATTCGGCAACGAGTCGCCATCGTCGATTAATCGATTGGATTCGATAACCGACTCGCGAATAGTTTATTTTCATGGGAAAGACTCGAGCCGGAACACTCCACTCGTCGATTGTGTTCATCGCGAACGAAATGTGACTCGTTGACGTGTTTCACGGAACAATAACTTGGATCGAATTCGAAGAAACGGATGGAAAAAAAGAAAGAATGTTTACGTCTGCGTGAATCATCGATCGCGTTCTCAGTAGCGCGGCTTACGGTAACGACGTAAGGTAGACAATCTCGAGATTTCCGCGAGAAACAATCGAACGACATCGACCCGTGCCTGGACTTGGACTCGGACTCGAACTATACGTGTATGTATTGTATGCCCACGACTCGTCTTGCAACTTTCGATTCGAGTCGCTACAGTAACCGCGAGCACACTATTACGTAAACGTAAGCTTTCCCGGTAACTCCTTAGCGAGAATCTTTGCGACTTTTTGTTACTTTTCCGACGATGATTACGTTCATCAATTTTCAAAGAGACCTCCGCGAGTAACCGCGAATAGAAGAAAATAATCAAATATATCAAGGTTCCTCCGATAGAGGATCTCACCTTCTCCTTTTCCTTTTCCGTAGCATCATCCTTATCCTTGTCTTTATCCTCGGTCGCGTCCGTGTGCGGCGCTATGCCGTTAGTGGTGGGCTTTGCGTCGTTCTCCTCGATCCTCTCCAGCTTGCCATCGCCAGGTGCAGCCGCATCACCGAGAACAACACCTCCGTCGGCCGGTATCCCTTCCTTCTTAGGAGTAGTCGTTATGTCCACGGACCTTCTACTTTGTTTCGCACCCATCTTGCTCCGTTTACCTCTCTATCCTTTCTCTATTTCACCTGTCTTCCGTTCTCGAGATTTCCGAATGCTCTATTTGAATGCCGCGTGCCCAACAAAACTGACCTGCGATCAACCAACAAAAATGAACAAATGTAAGGAATAACGCTATGGTAAACGTCCGTGTGTCGAATACATTCGAGTAGCGCTGTACTTTGTTTCGAAACCAATGTTCTTGGAAAAAAAACGTCATTCCATTACTTTGCGTCATCGGTACAATAACGCGGTGCAACTGAAAATATGTATAAAGGAGCGCGAAGGGAAGTCGGCCGCCATTCCAACTACTCGCTTTTGCGATTCACGCTCCCGAACACCGGTTCAACGACTCCATGCGTAACAATTTCCTAAAAACAAGGCAAACAGCCAACGGAATCGCGTCGTTTCTTCGAGCGACGAATATTTTAACCAATCGCTAGTGCCTAGATGTCGTAAAAACGAGAGGAGAACGTTTGATAAAAGTGTTCCATTGAAAAACGTTTTCGCTACGTTACTCGAGCTAATCGAGTAATTATCTATTCACCGCGAACGATCGTGCATGCAAACGAAAACTACACCAAGATTTCCTCCCGCAGAACCGCTTGATAGATTGATAAAGGCGTTCAAGGTTCAACGACGTCAGAGAGTAGGTATACAAAGACGTTAAAAACGACTCGACGTCTAGATCGGTCGGAAGAGCGTATAGGAAGTATGTAAATTCCAATGATACGCACGAGACGATGCTAACGAGAAAATGTCGCCGACGTTTATGCGATTCTAACGATATCGCGATCACGGCGAACACCAAGGATTACTAGACGTATTGTAAAATAATCACGCAACTCGATGAGCATGAGCTTATACGTTGTTATATCGGTCGCAAATATTGAATTCTAGGGAAGCGATAACGGTGGAACGTAATCTTGACGCATTTACCGTGTGAGTCAGAAAATTCTTAAGAGTCCGGAGGATCGTCGTTCGAACACGCTTACAAGTTTCATTCACGGTTCGTTGACTGCTACCCAACCGACCGAGTCATGCTCGACAGAATAATGCGTTGTACCGCCTGTTCGTGATCTGTCGAGAATTGCATTCTGTATGTAAAGCTTTTGCTTGTCGTTCGTTATTTGGATTAGTGGAATGAATTACAGAGCCCACGGTAATGTTTCTTTCTCACAAATAAAAAATAAAAAAAATAAAAAAAAAAAAATAAACTGCTCGACCCACTGTTCTCGACATTGAGAATTACAAGCATGTCAAGAGAAAACGTAGAGACGCATCGCAGGACCCGTATTCAATCGCGTGTCCCCCATGCGTGAACAAATCCGTTGGGTCGCGTCACGCCGCGCCGCGCCGTCCGGTCGGTACACGTGCGTGTGCAACGCACAATGCGCGTATCGATGAACATACGGAAAAGTTGAGTCTACTCGCGGGAGAGGGTGCAAAGATTGAGCAGGACCGGAGCAGGAGCGGATAGGGGTATGACCGGCTGGGACAAGATTAAAAATATACCTACGCATATCCGGAGTACTACGAAGTAAAACGAATCTATATTTAGCACGATAGCGCGAGACGTGGACTTTTCTTTCGCGTATATACAACCGAGAGCAAAACTTGTCGGCAAAGAGTGAAAATGCCTGGAAACAGTCGTGTACAGAGTCGAGCAAATAAATACCGAGAGATAAGGATTGCGAATAGAGATTGGAGAACGCGTGCAAACTTTCGCACGATATATATCAAAAAGAGCTTAGGTAAGAAACGGCTGGTATTCGAGATAACGTTTAAAGATCGACGAATGTTACCGATTCTCAAATAAAGAGAGCCATCCAACGGTCGTGGAGTACAGAGTTCTCGCGAAAAACCGGTCGCGCCGCGAGACGTTTCAAAGGCACTCGCAACTCTGGCGTACACGTCTGCCCGAGCAACCGCTCTTTTCTTCGTTCTTGTAAACGAGAGAAAGGCAGATGTGGGCAAGTTAACGACCCGTTATCGCGTGGACTCGCCATTGCTGAAACTGGTTGCTGCCGATATTGCGGTAAGGAGGGAAAAAGGCATCGGCGCGGAGAGCGAGGGAGGGAAGCGCGGCGATGCGTAGCGAATCGCGAAACGTCGACAAAACGAACGATCGCGAACGCGAACGCAAACGCACGAACGCGACTGATGGTCAGCGTGCAAACGCAGGTGCGATCAATTACGAAACGATTATAAAACGCAATCTCGGATGTTCCAAGATGATTCGAATTCGGATATTCGATACGCGTTGTCGAATGGTTGCGTGAAATGAAATTAATAGAGTTCCGTTTTCGAGGAGGATAACAAAGACAGCAAAAAGAAGAAAAAAAAAAAAAAGAAAGAAAAACGAGAAAAGAAATTTAGCGAAAATCATAACTGCGCGAATAGGAGGAGTCCGAGAGCGGCGACGAACAAGATCGGGCCAAGGTGCACGCGGAGAGTGGGCTGCCTGTTAGCCAGCTAGCCAACTAGCCAGGCCAACATTTTCTCGGCCTTTCTCCACCGGCTTCCATTCCCCGAGCGACAACAATCGCTTCCGTGGAAGCCTTGACTGGGTTTTAAATGCACGGCAGGTAGAGGCCTGCTATGCAAAATCGGTATAAAGAAGAGAGAGAAGGAGAATCCTGTGTCCAGGCAAGCAGGGCAAGCAAGCAAGTATGCAGGCAGACAGCAGCAGCAGCAGCAGGCAGGCAGGCAGGCAGGCAGACACGTCGCCTCTGTTTAAGGCACCCGGGTTGGCAAGAACGTATCTCCTTTCTATCCCTCTTTGCCCCTCTTTCGCCATGGCAACGAGCAAACGCCGCTAAATTTGTGAGCGGACAAAGCCGTTCCGTTACTAATTTTCTCGTTTCGTCGATTCTTCGATAATCGAGGGATGCGTACAGTTGTTTCGAACGAACACGATTTTCTGAGAGTGCCGCGCTTCGTTTCTCTCTTCTCTTCTGTCCTCGGTGAATCGAAAACGCGAGCGCTGCATTTAGGAGAGACCGAGCGAAATACCACGCAAGTGCAATCGCGAAGTTAATCGTGGCCGGAGGGAAAGGTCATCGGTTGGGTCTTGAAATCGTACGTATGGTTGGTCGTTAGGGGGTTAATAGCGACTAACTGGTGGGAGAAGAAATCAAGATGGCGTAACTGGTCGCTACTCGGATCGATCCTTCGATCGAGACCGTTGTGTCGCGGGTTCTCTATAACCGATCGCCAGTCGACGAAGCGATGCTAGGGAAAGATCGACCATTCTTCTCAACGGAACGATGATTCGTTGCGAGACAACGAGCACGCCGTCACACCGAATAAAACTGAAAGCTGGCTCTCGTACGACGGCAGCTATATCGATCGATGGTGGTGCCCATCTTCAAAATGGCGCGGGGGTACATGCACAAAATTCCGCTCGAGCATTCGTCGCTCGTAACGTTTATGGAAAGCGAAGAAGAGACGGTGATTCGTGCGCAACACATGCGCTCGCGCGAGTGACGAGCCCAGCTAATCGTTCGTCCAATTGTCCAGTCGATCTTCCGTCTTAACGAAATCGAAAGCCAACGAAACATACGGCACGGCGTGGCGTATCGTGTGCGTGGATCGAAAACCACGCGGGAGGCAAGAAAGGTGTGTATGCGTCGAGGGAAGAGGGAGGATGGAGAAAGGGAGAGAGAGAGAGAGAGGGGGGGAGGGAGGGAGAGGAAGAGGGAGAGAGAGGAGCGGAGATCCAGTGGGGCGCGCTCGAAACGAGCCTTCTAACGAGTAGAAAAGAGCGAAGACTCGGCACTCGGGGGTGGTTGTTACTCACCTCGATGGTCGAGAGCGTCCCGAGTGGCGCGACGAGGCGAAATTTTCCCTCGAAGAGCGTCCCCCGGCGTGGTTCGTCACAAGAAACTCACTGGATATATTATTCCAAGAGGAGAGGGAGGAGACGCGACGATGGTGGCGGCGGGTGTGTAGCACGGTGCGTGGCGTCTAGACGGACACACGAGAGTAACGAAAGATGAAACGGCTAGCAGACACACGAGGTTACTTGGCCCGTTAAAAGCAAGATGGAACAAACACCGAACAAGTTCGAATAAGAGAGCAAAGTTTTTAGCGGGAGCGCGATCGCAAACTCATCCACTTGGCTCGGTAACGCGCAACCGACTGAAGAGAGAGAAGCGGAGGGGAAGCGGCGACGGCGTCCGTCTGTCCGTCCGACCGTCTTTCTGTCACCAGCGCGTATTGCTCGCGCTCGCACGCTCTCACTCGCGCGCGTTCACTCGTCTTCTCTCCCCTCTGTCCTTTCCTTTCCTTTTCCCTGCGACAGCCCCTCGTTCCCACTCTCTATCCCTCTGTCCCTCCCTCGATTTTTCCTCGTGGTTCCCGCGTATACACACTTCTAGACTTCTAAATCACCAACCGGTACGCGCGTGTCGTTTCCGTAGTTATCGAAAAAATCATCGCGTCAGTTCCACGATGGACGCGAGATGCGAGAAACTCACCCTCGTAAGAGGCGCGGAACGATCGATCCGCAGGCACAGAATACGATAATCGCGAATACCCGGACAACGTTCAAGCCAAACGATCGATCGTTTCACGTTTCAACGACTCCCGAGGAGGCTGTTCCTTTGTTCCCGCCGTGTCGGGAGTTTTGGCTGCGTACCGCCTCCCTCTTTGTTCCGAGAAAGTTGAGGCGTGGGGTAGCCGATGTATCGCGCGCACAAAAACTGACGAAAATATCGTTTCGAGAACACAACGTCGTACTCTTTTCTCTTTCTCTCTCGCGTATTTCCTTCGAGTCGCGTTCGCGTGACTACGTGTTCCGCGAGTCCCCGTGTTCCACCGAGCAACCGAACGCGGCTTTTCGTTTCACCACTGTGTTCTGCACTAGCCGACAGTCGGAGGAAGAATGAGCTCCGGGATAGACGGGAGGCAGGCAGGAACGTACCGGCCGAGCCCGGTACCCCGGGACACGATTCGAATGGTGGCAGCCCTGACTCGAGGCTCGAGCTCGCCGAGAACGTTGGGGTATGGGGGCTTCGACTTCAGGGCGGGGTCCTGTCACGAAGGGCTCCGTAACTCGGAACGCGCCAACGTCGCTACGAGAGAAAGTATCCATCTTCGGGGTTAGCTCTTTCTCGGCTATTCGTACACACAACAGTCCATCGACTCTCGATTCTTGCCGATCGATGGCGATATCTTCGATATCGATGGATGCGTATCGCTGTGGTCGCTCCACTCGTTGTGAAATTCGACGGTCGGATCTAGGTACACGGTTAACGACCTACCGTAATACGCGCGGTTCCCCCGAATTCAACGCGTGGGAGAAAAATCGATTACGCGAAACCGTTAACCGGGCAAGTATATCAGATTCCTGCCATTAGCGTTTACTATCCCTGATAACCGCATCTTTGATATCCTCTATTCTTTCCAAGCAGTCACGGTCACGAGATTATAGCGGCCACTAGACGTGCCTCGTAATCTTGGCCCAATCGTGACGCGTACTACCCGGAAATCGTACCTTGTTTTGGCAACTCGCACGGTGCTCATTTCACCAAAACAAAATACCGATACACGTATATTTGCTGCTACTGTGTTGTTGCTGCTGCTGCTGCTGCTGCTGCTCACCTTTACAACTGGCCTCAGGCGAGTAGCCTTGCGCCTTTCGCCTTTCGCGACTACGACTGCTACGAAAAGCTGCACGTTCAAGTGCGTTCGTGATCGACGACGCGCCTTCTGATAACGTTCGGAATTTCTGAATTTTCGTCTAGAAGCTTCTTTTTTTCTCTTTGGCTATCGCTCGCCAGAGATCTCAAATGCGAGGAACCAACATTCTCGAACAATAAATTTGATCGACAAACAAGGAGGACGATTTCGGGGAGAAATATATATAAAATTATACATCACAATACGACGATAATCGACATTCTTTCGAAGCTGCGTCCGAGAAAAGAGACACTCGCTACGAAATGCGTTAACCCAATTAGGGACGGGGCGATGACGAATTGGCGTTTCCAAAGCGATATCGTTATCAACGGACAACGTTCTTGGACACAGGATTTCTTTGTTCGCGAGGTCACGTCACCTAGATTCTATAAGCGAAACACTTGGAAACAAAGAGTGGAAATAAATTCAGACGAATATTTTATCGGTAGCGTTCCTTTTCGTTTCACCGCATTTTTAACCGATACTATTACCACACGTTTCCGCTCTGAAAATTCCGCGACGTAACTCGGTCGCGACCGACTCACCGCGACGGCGTTAATACTTGGTCGATTGTACGATTAAACGAACCGACTAACGATCATCGTTGCCGGCATGCGCATGTGTAAAAAAAGAAAAAAAAAAAACAGAATCCATACCGATGATATCGAGCGCGAGCTTGTCAATAGGCTTGGCGGGAGACGCGTATTTCGCAGCAACGCGAGACTTTTTCCGAATATACACGCGAGGATACCGTCGCACAAGTTTCCTCGTCGATAACGATACTTGTACTATGTTGGATTCTATAACAGCCGGGAAAGTAAAACGAATGCGCGGTTTCGAAAATATGTAAAAAGACAAGTGAAAGAGAGAGAGGGAGAGGAGTCTATATCGGCAGCGCGAGGTTAGCCATTCTTTCGCGGCGACAGGAAACGAAAACCGGCTCTCTAAGGAGCCTCGACAACGGTACCGGCAAACATATAGCACCGATTTCCATGATACGCGACGATAACGCAACATTGCGCGAAATTGTGCACGTGATTTCTCGATCGAGTATGGTACTTTGGAGAAATCGACGCTAAAAAGGGACGGCTTCTTTTCCGCGTAAACGATGCGTACGGAATGCTCGAGATCTAATATCGTTGCGTGTCACGCACTGAATATACAATGTACCCGAGGTATATAAATCGGATAACTCTTTCGTTCGATAAATAAATAATTTTTGTATCGAAAATTATTTTCATCGAGAACTCGGCGGAGTCGAAGCATAAGCTTTCTATCGTAAAGGAACGACTTCGGAGAGCTGCGGCGAATATAGCGTGTAATAGATGGTGTCGATTCGCGTATACGGCACGTTCATTACCGGAAACGGAAGCTCCACCTTAGTCGTCGACTACAACAATGTTTGCGCGAACGTACTCGAAGAATGTCGTGCGCGCGCGCCTCGGCATACCTGAAAATCCGGTCGTCGGTTTTGTCGAAGAAGAAAAGATAAGGCGCGCGGCTCCACGCCGATGACGCATTAGTACTCGGCGCGTAAATTCGATCCCAGCGAGAGTAAAACTATTCGGAACGAAGCTAATTCAGTTTTCCCGATGCCTCGAGTGGATCTCGGACGGCGATTAACGAAGATGTACAGACTACGTATCTATGACACGATGCCAAATAGTACGAGCACACGCATAGAGGCCTCTTCTTGGCCAATGAATGGGACGCCCACGCGTCTCGATGTCGCGCAGCAAGGTGAACGACCAGATGGAATATCCCGCGAATCGTAATTCAACGAAAATGCAATCGAGCGCAAGGCCACGGTGCCAATACCAATACACGCATCCGTTTCTCGAGCTATCGGACCTTCGAAAACCTTTCACCTGCAGAGTTCGCCTTCGACGAGAGGCAATTTATTTATAAATTAACTCGCGTGTATCTTTCCATGAGTTTTCAAATTCACCGAGCATTTATCGCGAGCCCTTCGTTGGTCATTCGAGAGACAAATATTTACTCGTGTCACGGTAAACCGAGCGAGTGCGATACTATTTGCCTGGTTTACTTTATCGCGATACTTTATCGCGCCTAACCCGATGCCCGAAGAGAAATTATAACGACCGTAGCTAGTATCGTATCGCGGTTTCTGGCTCGTATCGGCTGACGCCAACATCGACGCGACGCGACGCGACCCGACGTATCGTGTACCAAACATCGGCGCGCGACTCGAGCCACTTTTACTTTCCATATTACGCGAGACGTACCGATTCGACCAGAGGAGGAAATCGACGACGACATAATTATCCATATCCCAATCACGGTCGACCGAGAGAATCTTTTCATTGAATCGGGTCGTAAATTACGGACGGTCCGAGCAGAGGACCTTGGTGACTTCAAAGCACCAACGACCGCTAATATTACATTATTCGACGCCGGTTCCGGCGACCTTAAACTCGCTCACGGTCCATGCACTCACGAATCATACGAGGCGAACGTCGGGACCCGGCTGACCTGTCATTTTAATACGGTTAAATCTCCACTTCCGAATAAAAGTAGCTCGCTCGTCGACGAATCCCTCGCATCCGTCGGAACTTTGGACGGCTGACGCCCGAAATTATTTTCACGTTTCACGAGCGTGCACTTGGACACGCGCGATGACACAAACGCGGTGTGTGCGTGCACGCGTAGCTCGGTGAAAAACCAATGCACGTACTCGAGGAATGCGTTCGCTCGCACGAATACGTTCCCGGGGCCCGACCGATACGGACTCTCGCAATCGCAACTTACGGATACACCCGTACGTATACGTACTTGCTCGATTCCCGTGAATCTTTTGTCTCATTGGAATCGACCATCGGTATCTCCTTCCTTGCACGTGCAAAACAACATATTCGCACCGTGACGCACGGTAACTCTCTAGGTGTGCGCTGTCGACCGGTAGCGAGCTGCTACTCACCCCTGACTATACCGAATAACGATAACGGCTAATAACGGCTAACGCTATTCATCCATAAGATCCACCATTCTGCTCCGGTGGGCCAATTGGCCCATTGTCGATCCAGCGAAAGACGGTAAATCACCGGCGTCGAGACAATTAACTTCCAATTAAGCGTCACGAGACGCTCTTCGTGCTGCTTTCATTCATGGGGTATACGTACCGCGCAAAGATCGCGAGGACTGTACACAGGAAACGTGACCACGACGGACTCGTGCAGAGTATACCGGTCGGTAGAGATCCGACTCTACTCGTACCACACCGGTTATATACTGCTGCTGAGTAATCGTTTCTCGATTATTAAGAGGACGGGTATCGCAAAAGAGAAGCTGTTATTTCGCGAGCTTGTGGGTAGTTTACGTACGCTTACAGCATCGATTGTTTTCGACGACAGAAGCAGTAACGATTGGGAAGAATCCCCGATCGATCGGACGATCGTTCCAATCGACGAGATAACGCCGGAACATTCGGAGCATACCTCAAAGATGACTCTTCGAGACCGTTATTGTTTGCGTCGATCGTCGAGCGAGAACAAAACCAAGAACGAAGAACTCGCACAACGATGCTTGAAAAGAAACACGTGGCGCTTCGCATCTTGTTCGTAAGTGAGGCTGAATGGCCATAGAGGTTACGTTTCATCGAGTCGTTTAATTCATTCTACCCCATTCTCGAGGCAATTAGTAACACGGTACGAGCCCTGTACCCGACAGACCGACGGCATCGCGGCTCGTATCTCGTATCTGAATATCTTCGACACGGAGAACGATCATCGAGTACAAGTAGACATCGCGCGATATCGATGGGATCGAAGAAACGTAAAGAGTCATTGGAAACAATTTAAAAAATTGAACGGACGAAAATGTCATTCATGGTTTTTCCCATTCCAGGTTCTTTCGTGGCAGTACGAGAACCGCGCTATCGCCGTCCATCCTCCCCTGCCAAATTGATTCGTGGTGAACTACGCTTCCAACTTCCAACCGCTTCGACGGTGCATTTCTACGAGAGGGTCGACGGTGCTTTCGTATCGATTGTACGTTGGATGATTCATGGGTTTCTCTCCACCACTGGCCACCCCCGCAATATTCTAAGCCGACAGACATCGACCGACCCATGGCTCGAAGTTTATCCCTATGCAGAAAAGCGGAGAAACACGAGCAGGAGAGGTCTCGGTGTTCTGGAGTTAGCAGTGATATACGCAAAAGACGCGGCGAGCCGA